ATAGTATTGGTAATTATTTAAGCCCTTACATTACTCCATTACTCTAAAGCCTGGAACACTGCATCCAACCACGCAAACCCTGAAACCGTATAGATATGTCACAGTCTTTGCGTGAGTTGGGCTGTTGAGCCCCTAATGAGAAACTCCTAAGCCCCAAGCCTCTTAGTCCAGAACCCCAAATCCCTGAACCCTTCGCTCTAAAATTGTGGAAACCGAATGGAGCCGCGGATGTCCTTGTGGCCTCAACCGGATAAGTCGAATTAAGGCATTAAGGCACTCAGGCCTCAGGTTCTCAGATAGTTCAAGGCTTGTAAGGGAGATAAGAAAAACTAAGCAACAGCTCACAAGCAATAGGGTTTAGGGTTTAGGGTTTGGTGTTTGGGAGTTTTTGCTGTGCTCGTTTAAAATTCGGGGTTTCGGTGTGGCATGTAACCTGTACCTTGGCCCAAACCTCAGAGCCCTGAACTGCCGCAAAGTTAAATCCTAACACCTTTTAGCCCAGGACTGCTGAACGCTAAACACCTAAACGTAACCCAACCCCCATAAGCAAAACCTTAAACCTTAAAGCCCCAAACCCCTAAACACTTCGAACAGCTTCTGTGCATTGGGGCTTGGAGAATGTGTGTTCTCGATTCCGCAAAGGCCTTGGCCACAGCACGTGGCTCGCCAGCAGCAAACATCACCTGAAACACGACACAAACCCCTAATACTTACACCCTAAACCCTAAACCTAAAACCCTAAACCCTAAACCGCAAATGCGACACAGACCCAAAGATCCAAAGACACAGGTTAGGGATTTTGGCTTAAGGTTTGGAGCTTCGGGGTGTAATCTTTACGGCGTACTAACCTATTCAATGTAAGGCTGAAGGCGCAAGGGTGCAAGTTTGGGTATCGGGATTTAGGGGTTTTATGCGTGTCCTTGGGCCGGAAGACCTCGCTGTGATTTGCTGCTGCACTTGTTTGACTCTTACAAGACATTCTAGGAATTACCATATAATGTAGGGGCCTAAATGATTACCAATACTATTTTGGTGGGTTCCTTATTTTTATGTATAGTATAATGGGCCCCAAAACCCTATTCTTATTATTAACGCTTCTATATTATGTTTTTTTCCAAACACCCGAACCCCATGTAAGTCAAGGTCTCAATTTATGGGCTCGACGGCCCAGCTGCGGGCAGAGCTGGAAGGTATTCGTGAGGAGGTTTAGGGTAAGGGTTTAGGATTTTGGGTTTAGAGTTTAGGGTTAGGGTTTAGGGTTCAGAGAGTCAGTGGATACGATGCCCACAAGAACTCTGTTCCAAGCATTGTGCCGCGAAAGCATACTCTGAAGCTTCCCACGGAAAAACTTTCGGTACGATCTGCCGCATCTCTGAGGGACTGACAAACTAACAGAGGTTTCAGTGCTGGGTCTAGTGTTGCAAACACCTGAAACATCTGGATGAAGGACCGTTGCAAATGAGATTTGGGATTGTCAGTGTGTGTACATATCCTATACCAGAGACGCACACGGAATATACAACCGAATCTTGGTGATCACGGATCAAGGACATGGCAAGTTAGTTTCTCTGGCATGCAGAAGCTGACGACATACGTTTGGCTGATTATGACTTGCAGCCTCTGGGTGTTCATGAAGGGGAACATGAGAATACAAAATGGCTCAAAGTATATAATGACTATGTTGATATCATTAATCCGAACTCGGGACCTGCATGAAATTGCAGTTTTGGTGTCCGAGCGAGTTCTACTGTTGATGATATAAACCCTGCATTACTTTAAAGGACCCTAAACTATGGGAGTTATGGTAGGCTCCTTATTGTGGGTAATGCAGGATTTATATCATCAACCATACCTGCACCTAAACCCTAAACCCTAAACCCTAAACCCTATAAACCCTAAACCCTAAACCCTAGATTAGATCATCAACCGCACCACAGCAAACGCAAGAGCGTGCCGTTCGCCTGGACGGTTGCCGTCGATTTCGTCTTCAAGCCAACATGGCCCAGAAATGTCTCCGCCTCCTTTGTCAAGTTTAGGGTTATAGGGTTTAGAGTTTATAGGGTTTAGGGTTTTAGGGTTTAGGGTTTATAGGGTTTAGGGTTTTAGGGTTAGGGTTTAGGGATTTTGTCAAGGCTACGCAGGCAAGTCGAGCCCAAACCCCTTATTGGATCGAGAGCTCGGGCTCAAACCTCTCAGCAGGCTCAGGCTCTTCGGCTAGAAGTTCAATCAATCTTTACATATATTGGAGTTTCCAAAAATAAGGGGTACCTTATTTTGGGGTCCTTATAATAAGGATCCTACTATTTAGGGTACTCTATTAGGGTCCTCTATTTTCGGGAACCCCTATATTTACATATACACATATGGAAAAATTGGACGGCCCGGATAATGCAGGTGGCTGGTAGAGCGATGCCGATCACGTCAGGACTAAGGTCTTACAGAGTTCGCGCCTGTTTGAAATCTAGCCTTCAGATGCTTCAGTGGGTCACCCCCCCCCCTCCCGAAACCCTATAAACTCTAAACCCCCTGAAACCTAAAGCCCCCCAGCCCCCCTAAAGCCTAAATTCCCCGGCCCTCCCTAAGAAGATCGAACTTCGGAGCCGAGGCCTCGGACCGAACTTCGGAGCCGAGGCCTCGGACCCTCCACAACGATTTTCAACCCCAAAGCTCCCACAAGTCACCAGGGATCCCAGGGTGACGTGAAAAAAGCTGGAGCAATCCCAGGATAAGGGCCCTTTATGTAAAGGGATCCCCGAATTAAGGGCCCTTTATAGAAGCGATCCGTAGAGGATCTCGAACCGAAGGTTCATGATGAGGAGTAGTTGGAAGGGACTGCCATCATAGCTACTAAGCAGAAGGACTTGCAGCCCAAACGCGATGCGCAGACTACACAAGCACCCCCTCTCTCACATACAAGGTGCACACGCAATACCACACTCTACTCACAAAAAACACACTCATGAACACACAGCCAGACCGACCGACAGACAGACAGACAGACAGACAGACTGACACACTGACAGACAGACTGACTGACTGACTGACTAACTGAGACATACACACACAAACATCTCGACGGACAACCGCACACACACACACACACACTAAACTTTACAACTTTAAGCCCGATGCTCTAAATCCTGAACTTAAACCATGGAGCCCAAGCCCGTGCTGATGGGACTTAAGTTTCAGAGCCCCGAAACCTTACCGTACTTGTCGGTTTAAGGTGGAATGGGGTTTGTGCTTATAGGGTACAAGGCTTGGATTGCCGGCATACGTGGTATGAGCTGGGGGTTGCAGCGCTTCGGCGAGTGGGTTCAGCGTTGAGTGCAACATCCCTACAGCAGACAACAGGTCCTCTTCGGGGACGTGTGCGCTGTCATGAGGTTCTACGTGATGTAGGGGCCTAAATAACTACCAATACTGTTTTAGGGGTTCCTGATAATATAGTATAGTATACTGGGCCCCCAACCCTATTCTAATTATTCAGTCTCCTATATTTATTAACCTTTCTCACTGGAGTAAACTTCACCGATGAAGGACCACATCGGCACACTGCAAACAAAGCCTGACCCCCTGTCCAGGGATCCCAAAAGTTGAGCAACCTGACAAATGTAGGAGCCTTAATAATTAGAATAGGGTTTTGGGGTTTCCTTATTATAACTATAGTATACTGTAACATACCCCAAACCCTATTCTAATAAATTAAGGCCCCTATATTGAAGGAATCTTGACAAAGAAGGATTTTCGGCTCACCTGATGCACCAGGCCCTCTGGATGGGATGTCTAAAAAAGCCCTACAAGGCCTAGCACTAAAACCTAAAACCCTAAATCCTATAAATTAAACCTAGACCCTAAACTCTTAAACCCTAAAACCCTCAAACCCTAAACCTAAAACCGGATGTATAAATGCAGGCCGCTGTTGCCTTGAGCTCACGGCCCATGAAGAAGAGCCGGGGTTTCATCTCGGGTCCTGCCAGAGCTTGAAGACATGAGGGTAGGGTTTAGGATTTAGGGGTTTAGGGGTCTCGGGATTTCGGGTTTAGGAGCTTAGGGGTTCAGGGATTTAGGGTTTAGGGGTCATAGGGTGTATATGTTCATAAATACGTTTGGGGCCTAGGTTTTAGGGCTTCTTGTTCAGATTTCTTTGAAGGGGCTAGAAAGTCCTCAAATGCTGCTGGCAACGGCATGGGTGTGCAGAGATCAATAAACACGCAATCAGCGAACCGCGGTGCAACAACACTTACACAATCCAGGCTTGCCCCACCTTTCGCAAGACTTGCAACCCTACATTTTAAGCCCCTAAACCCTAAACGCATAAACCCTACACCCTTAAACCCTGTATAAACCCTAAACCCATAAACCCTAAACGAACCCTGATCCAGCGCTCGGTTTTGGATATACCGCGCGCCTGGCTCAAAAGCACCCAGGGCCAGACCTCCACAAGTCGGCAAGATTCGAGCACAAAGAGGTCGGATTCATTGATTCTGAGATTTAGGGTTCAGGGGTTTCGGGTTTAGGGGTTTAGGGTTCAGGATTGCTAGTGTTGAGCATATTCCTCCAACTCTTTGTATATATGTAGTTACAATAGCACAGCATACTGTAACATACTCCCATTCGCGTCGCTCGTCATTGCGGCTTAATTCTCGTTCTATGCTATGCTTGATTATGATACTGGTGGCAGTAGTTGTTAGTAACCTGTAGGAAGCCAGTAGTAGTAGCGGTAGTGGTAACAGTGGAAGTGGCGGTAGCAGTGGCAATTGCAGTAGCTGTCGCTGTCGTTGTTCTGCTGCTGCTGCCGTCGTCGTCATCGTCGTCGTCGTGGTGGTGGTTGTTGTTGCTGCTGCTGC